CTGATATCATTCTCCAAAGTCCCAATGACAACAGGTCACGTGTTTTATGTCTTCAGATGCCACGTTCTATTGATTTCTATCTCGAGGTCCTTATATTTATTTAGTTATTCCAACGTTTGCGATGCTGAAGTTTTTATCGTCTGGCGCTACAACATCTATCACAAGACGTGTTTTCATCATGATTTCTCAATCAGACTGAATGCTGAAATTCCAGAGGATGGTAACTTGTTCCTCCTTTACAACTTGTGTCGGCTTAAGTTCCCACCAAATCTCGAGGGAGGCTGAATGCACGACATCAAAGCCAATATAGGTACTGAGCAGACCTATTATACCGTTGTATTATTTTTAAATTGAGAAGGTCAAACTGATGAGGAAAAGAAAGATGAAAATAGTGTTTTGCTTTTTGTAGTACAAGTTTTCCTCCAGTCTTCACCAAAGAGTTCAAGAGAATTTAAACAGATACAATTCGATACAATTAGGCAGAAACATGTACAATTGCCGTCACTGTGTAGAAAAGAACCTGCACAAGATGTGAAAAGTAGCCAAGAGTTTGATATTTTTGCAATTCATATGTTTTAGGGTTAACAGGAATTTGATCCACATATTTGCTGCTTTTGAATTTTAATTCCCAAGGCCCAATAACAACAGGTAATTCTGTCGTCTTCAGATGAAACATTTCTATCTCGAGGTCCTTCTCTTAGTTTCTCAAATATTTTCAAAGATGTATTTTTGTTTTCTGGTGGGAATGCACCATCTTTCAGAAGATTTATCCTTAGTTATTATTATCAGTTCTAGTAAACTGTACCTTTTGTTTCATATCTTACAATGGTGGATAGACATTTTGAGATTTTGGAAATTTTCAGGCATTTTTTTAAACCGAGTCTCTAGATGAAAGAACAGTTAATGACGTGAATGAAACGAGCCTGCGAACAATCGTGCTACAGGAGGCTATAGTGTGTGTGTGTGATAGTGTTGTAACCTAGACAAAGGTTACTGAATGAGGAATAACCAAAAAGGAGGTTGAAAATGAAATGGTAATCTTTATAACATTAACAGAATACAATATTCTCCAGCGGCGTGAAGTAGGTAAACCACTGCTAGTGGTGAACTACTTAGACAGCATATTACCCCCACTTACAATAGTGTCCAACGTATTTATGAGGATTGGGACAAACCTAATAGTTTTCATAGGTAGGGTATATAGCAGAGGTGAAAGAAGTATACGAAACAGCATTAAATAATCGCAGATTCAAGCCCGAATTAAAATATATACGGAAACTAGAAAGGAAAACAGAAGTAGAAAAATAATATAGTTTGATGCACCTTACAATAAGAATGTTGGTATAACTATAAGAAGAAATGTTAAACTTATAGACAAATATTTTCATAAATCACATAAATTAAATAAAATATTTAATAGAAACACCATGAAAATATTTAGTTATACGGATGACAATGAAAAAATAATTAAAAAAAACATAACAAATTGCTAAATAACAACAAAACTTTAAGAAAAATGTAATTGTCGACATCATGCCAAATGTCCATTGCAGTAAAATTGCCGAGAGAAAAACAGTATATATACGGCGAAAGTGACAACAGAGGGAAACCTAGGGGAGGTGAAGATTTAGATTGGAACAAGTGGGTGAGAACTAAAAATGAAAGAGAAATTGTGTTAGCACAATGGAATAAAAACGCCCAAGAAAAACAGAAGAAATTCCTATCGATGTGTGGATGATACCAATTAAAAATGATAGAATCTAAGAACAACATGAAAAATGGCTTAAGAAACAAAAGGATTTATTTTGAACTGTCGACACACTGACGCATTCCTTTTGAAAAACGTGAAAAAACATAGTAGCAAACCATTCACATTGCCTCCGTATTCCATCGGTGTGAAGTAAGTTTCTTCCCGTTGTGGAACCAACTCCCAAGGGGATGTTTCCCCGATCACTACAATCTTAACCTGTTCGAGGCTAGGGTTAACTGTTATCTTCCACTCCTATCCACACAAATTGCCTCCTAACGTAACACTCTTCATCGAGTAGCCCCCTCCCATATCCGGCCTTGTAAAGGGTGAACCTTATTATAAAAAAAAAAAAGTTAGATCTTGGGAGCATCCAAGATAAACAAGCGTCCATTTGATAAAACAGTTAAGCATATAAAACAGGCTGTAAATAGGCAACTCAATAAAATTGTCATTTTTACGTGCATTAAGAAGCTCTTTTAAAAGTATTTAAAATTGTCCTCACTTATATACATGAGAAAAGCACTATCTAAATAATAGATGCGTGTGTGTATACGTTCGCGCCTGTGTCGATAGTCTTCTTAGCAGTAGGGAGGTATATTTATACGAATATAATTTGTGTGACGGTGTGCGTCTATTTTGTTCATTTCGTTAGCAAACAATGTCCTAATGTTTTTGTAGAGAGCTTTGTGTGCTTAATGGCTAAACATAGTTTTCCATTAGCTTCGATACATTTTGTTTGACGTTTCATAAATTCAGTTGTGCCGATTTTGAACAGACTTACATTTACCAAATTAGTTTCTAGAAGATTCGTCAGTTTGAACATTTGTCCTTCCGTTAATTCCAGCGTTACAGAGTAACGGGCGCCAATCCAATCAGAGATGCTTCCCTAGGACGAGTGTCATAGTCGCGTGGGCACATGCCACTGACATACCTTTTCTCACCCGGAGTTACTCAAGACAGTTGGAATCTCATTAGACACAAAAGTAATCGAGCAAACAAAGTTTTTAAATAGTTTCTGCGGCGAGCAAATGACAATTAAGTGAATGTCTTTTTTTTCTCTGCAATGATTAGAGCCTGTTGGAAAACAGAGAAATAAGAATAGAGTGATGAATTGTGTGGGGCGGGGGGTGCAGAGAAAACGAATCCAACCTCGCCGCTAAACAGTGGTTCTCGCAAATCTCGCAGAGAATTACTACTATAGCGGGTTTGGTTATAATTCGAGTTCAAAACAATTGTGACCTCATGCTTCCACAAGCCGATATTAATATAAATGGGCGCTACTCCGTAGAGCAATGATTAACGAGCTAGTCAGAGGCATAATTATAGTACCTCTATGCTAAATTTAACATCGGCTGAATTCAGTTTTCATGATGATCACACGCAGCACTACCGTTTTTCAAGATAGACGCAACACAATCTTCCTTTCAGTCCAATTTTAACTATGAACAAGCCTAAGCCAATATTTGTAAATAGGTATACGAGTCATGTCTTGTAACTCAGATGCATATTACTCGCCAGTGTCAGAAGTCAATATTCGGAGCCAGATAAAGAATAAGATTTCAAGGCATGAAAGCGCCGTTTGTAATTGTGAAGATTGATCCAACATAATTCCCCGCTCCCTCTCCATTTTTTCTGTATATCACGCTGAGCAAAGCTTAGTAGTTATCGAAACGAAAGTAGATGTTTATTCATTAAAATAGTTGTTTCTTTTTTCTAAAATAGGAACAGAAATCGGACAGAAGTAATAAAGAAAACGACAACATATGCAAAGAGAAAATGAAAGAAAAGCATAAAAATGGTAGAAAGTACAAAGAATAGAACACACAACATAATCAGATATGTGAAGCGCCCCAACGAGAATCGATCCCGCCAAAATACGACAACGGTCGAAGCCAATTCTTTCTTTTTGATTACTCTACCACTTCATCCCCAGCCCCTCAACCTCCGGCGTCTTCCTCTTTAAGTTGAGGTGTCCACTCGGTCCGAACCGAACTTAGGGGTAACTGGCCGTACGCTCCCTGAGTACCCGTAGATTATTTCGACCGGTCAACTGGTCAAGTCCTGCTTGCTGCCCACGCTGTGCTAGTTTTTAGATCCAGTAAGCGGGGTGTTGTCCATACGTTCACGGTCGACACGGCTGTGGGAGTTGGCGCTAGGAAGTTTAGAATGTGGCAAAATAAAACAAGAAATAATATCTGCAGAAGCCAGAAAACAACGGGGGAAATATTGATGTCTTTTATATAAGATAACATCAGAACAGAGGTTACAGGGAGAATAAAAACATTTAACATAAATGAGAAAAGAAAAAGACACAATGCATCCAGCTAATTCCCAACAGAGAGAGGGTTTGTGGGTGATAAATGTGTATTGAATCGCCTGGGGTAGGTTTATGACTAGTAGACCAGTCTCATACAGACTTCTCAGAACAGGGGGCAGTCCTCTAATTCTCCCGCAAATCTCTCGTGACTCTCTCGACGACGGTCTCATTCTCTGAGTCTCTCTCCCGTCTCCTTTCTCGTCGGCCTTTCTCGTCGGCCTTTCTCGGTTGTCTTTCTCGGCTGTCTTGTAGCACCGCGACCCGTAACGGTTGCCTGCGGGTGCTCACGCACGTGACGATGATGTGCCGACCGATCGCGGGCTCTCCCGTCTTTCTCTCCCGTCTGGCCTCTTCCGTCTCGCTCGACCGCGTGCCTCCCTTCAGTATAACTACGCTGCTTTATATAGATAAATCTGTTTGGTCATGAATCGACCCTTGGCCCGGCACGCGATTATCATGAGTGCCAAAAACTATCCCTTGACATGTAAACCAATTCGCCAATTATTTACCACGAGTTCTTCTCGCTTCCCCAAAATTATACTTTGGGATATCTAAACATTGATTCAACCTTTTAATCAAAACAAATACTGTTAAACAAAACCAAATATCACGTAGCTTGAGTAAGCTCTATTTCAATTTTTTTCCGATAAATTTTATTGAAATCATTTTTTCATTCTTTTTTCTAATGGCCCAGGTATAAAACATCGCCTCCTGCCTGAGATCGTGTTTCTCATCGGTAAACACACATCTTAACCCAAATTGTACTTTGATATATAAACACCGTTTTCACTTCCAGTCAATAAAAGTTATATTTGCGTGTGTGCATTCATGTGAGTGTATAAATGTATACCTCTCTCTGTTACATTACTGAATAATGAAGTTGCCAGCCTTTGGCAACGGACCAGCGGACATACGGATGTGTGCACGGATACATTAATAGATATCAAGACTTTTATTGAGATGAACATATTTAGATGCGAACAGATTGTCATAAAAAGGAACATAATGCTGACAGATAGATAGATAGATAGATAGATAGATAGATAAGGACACACTGAAATAGAAGTGGAATATTGAATCTGGTCTTATGTTAGGAAAGTTGATTCACTGTGCCGTACTAGACAATTTTTCTCACCAAAATCCATCTTGAACCGTTATAAATTTTTCCGTGCCTTGAATATTGCTGTCACACCTGGTCTGGTGCTCCTGCTATATATATATATATATATATATATATATCTTGAGATACCTGATAAAATCCAAAGAAGGGTATGTAATGTCTCATCATTTTTATGCAGGGTGGGGATGAAACGCCTGTTTCAATTTTACAATGAAAATGCTAAAGACACAGGGATGCTTAACTTGCAATCGGATATCAGACATTTTAAATTTTAATTTTAAGCGTCGATGTATTTTTAGTGTTTTTACGTAAAATCTTAACAGATTTTTATCGTATGACCTCTCGCTGTAAAAAAATGACTACATCAACATGTTTAATTTATATTAATTCCTTTTAGAAACAAAACGGGTCAGCATGTTTTTTTTTCATTTTGTCATTCAATTATACATAGATAGATAGATAGATAATGAATAGACTGAGATAGATAGATAGTTAAGTAGATAGATAATTAACAGATAGATAGATAGATAGATAGATAGATAGATAGATAATGAATAGACTGAGATAGATAGATAGTTAAGTAGATAGATAATTAACAGATAGATAGATAGATAGATAGATAGATAGATAGATAGATAGATAGATAGATAGATAATGAATAGACTGAGATAGATAGATAGTTAAGTAGATAGATAATTAACAGATAGATAGATAGATAGATAGATAGATAATGAATAGACTGAGATAGATAGATAGTTAAGTAGATAGATAATTAACAGATAGATAGATAGATAGATAGATAGATAGATAGATAGATAGATAGATAATGAATAGACTGAGATAGATAGATAGTTAAGTAGATAGATAATTAACAGATAGATAGATAAATAGATAGATAGATAGATAGATAGATAGATAATGAATAGACTGAGATAGATAGATAGTTAAGTAGATAGATAATTAACAGATAGATAGATAGATAGATAGATAGATAGATAGATAATGAATAGACTGAGATAGATAGATAGTTAAGTAGATAGATAATTAACAGATAGATAGATAGATAGATAGATAGATAGATAGATAGATAGATAGATTTGAATACAACAAAGATAAATATGAAATTAAAGATCTGATTTTATAAGCAGGAACATTTATTTTTCAACTTCTGTTCTGGCTTTCTTCAGTTGAATGTATTGTTTTTTCATTTAAAATAAAAAATTCTATTTCATTTAATTTTATTAAATCGAGTTTTCACTTCTTTCTTTCTTTCTTTCTTCCGTTTCTATTCCTTTCTTCCCGTTTTATTTTTTTTTTTTCATCTTCTCTTGTCCCGTTTATTCTGTCAAAGTCCATCTTTTCTTTCTCTTTTACAAACCTAAATGAAAAATAATTCTTTCATTTGTGTAAACTTGCAATGTCGCGGTTTACCTTCGTGTCTATTGACGCCAATCCCCATCGCTGGCAGATGTGCGTCAGTTCCACCCCCAGGAAGTTTGTGCAATCGCTTACAATCGCACAACACAAACATGACAGTTTCAAACAACGGGATTGGGTATTTTCTTTTAAATCTCGTGGAGATGAGACTATGTGAGACGCTGACGAGAAGATGAAAATGGAGAAGTGGTGGTGGAAAGTTAGTGGCAAATTGACGAGAAACGAGAATGAAAAAAAAAGGAATAAAATTTTTTTTTTTTAAATCTAAAAAAAAAAAAGAAGATAATAAAGAGATTTTCAAGCCCACCACCTCCTTTTCCTTCCATCTTTACACTAATTAGCATTAGAAGCTGTCTGTTAGGACAAAAGTGGAAGGACGACCCTTATGATGGTGTCAGAAATATGAGAAACGCTGTCTCTGTCAGGTTAATAAGTTATGCAGCAGGGTGATGGGAAGAGAGGTCACAGAACGCGGGGACGAAGAATATTAGAAGAAGCCTGTGGTAATGATCTGCGAGTATATTAGTAACTGTTGTTGCTTTACCGTTGATCCATTGTGGAATTCTTAGGTTGGCCCGAAACAGTGGCATTCTGGGTGGACATTGGTAGATGCGGCTGAATTGCAAAAACAAGAACGGTACAAACATGGGCGTTTTAATGATGACAGTTTAAAAGCCTACAAAGTAGTCATAGATTTGCCTTTGATGTCCACCGAAGCACCGGTATCTAGCCGTTGAGTTTTCCTGGAGAATGGAGCCGACAGATGATGATGCTGATGATGATGATGATAATTATTATTATTATTATTATCAAGTAATGGCTTTCTTTTCTTCTTAGATTTCTTTCGCGCGTGTTAATATTGGTTAATCTCTGTTTGTGCATAGACTACTATATGCTGGTTTTCTAAGCAAAGCTTATATATGGCACAAGGCCAAAAGTATGGGGCACCAAGTGAGGATCTAGCTCACTATTCAGTTGCAATTGATCTAACGAGACAAGCTCGCTAACCATTACACCACGTTGAAGTGCTCTCTTTTTAAGCGTGGCACAAGGCCGAAATTATAGAGCACCCAGTGAGGATCGAACTCACTACTGAGTCGTAGTTGATCTAGAAACAATTTTGCTGGCTATTATACCACATCGAAATGTCCTATACATACGCATCCATCTATATATACTGATTTTCCAAGCGTAGCTTAGATGTGGCACAAGGCCAAAAGTAGGGGGCACCCAGTGAGGACCGAACTCACTACTCGTAATTGTTCTAGCGAGACAAGCTTACTAACCATTTCACCGCCTCAAGGTGCCCTGCATAAATATATATATATATATATATATATATATATATATATATATAACCCCGGATATAAGAGAGTTGTCGGGACCGGAGAAGTCTCTTATATCCGGGTTTCTCTTATATCCGGGTTTGGTCTATTTTATATACATTAACAGGCTCTAATTTGGGACCAGAGAAAATCTCTCTTATATCCGGGTTTCTCTTATATCCGGGTCTCTTATATCCGGGTTACACTGTATATATTTCTTTTCTTACCTCTTTCTATTTCTCTTTCTTCTTTCTTTTTCATTTTATTGATTTCTTGTCCTCTTCTTTTTCTGCTTTAACCTGTGTATTTTTTTCTTTTTCTTTTATGGTATAATTATATATTTCTTTTTCCTTTTAAAATATTTTTTAAAAATGATGTTTCAGGACTAGCATTTTAAAAAACAATCGTATATAACTATCTTTGATCACAACTTGATGAGATGCCTGAATTGGGCATCGAAACAAATATGCATTTTTGTAGTGTAACTTAAATGTTTGTGTTGTGGTGTCCTTCCTCTAAAGAGTCTATGCTGGACTTTTCCGCCTACTATAAGATTAGTAGGAGAGAAGGCCCTGGGGGAAACAGTCGAATAGACTGAACGCTGTGTCAACCGACACACACTCAATAGTCGTGTAATACTCTTCTGGTGTACTTACTGTTTAATATATGATATATCTGTAACACTTGTCTTGTTATTTCTTTAACAGTTTACTTGGTCGCAACAGTTCGAATGTAATAACTTATAATAAATGATCATTACGCTGCATTTGTATTGAGCTCTCTTTTTAAATTAATGTTATGAACGTTTCAATTTATATTCGTTTCCTTTACTTCACATTTGTATATATATATATATATATATATATATATATATATATATATATATATATATATATATAATGTTGGGTAAACCTTTCTACAGTAGAATGAACTCTTCCTCCTCTCATAATTGCAAACTGCGAGAGTGTGAAGTGGAGTAGTAGACGCAGTGCTAATCTACTTATTACTAACACCATTGCTTTGTATATATCTTCAATATACCTTTTCAACCTACCTTTGTCTTCCGTGTCTTTCTTTCTGGCCTCTGAACAGACCACAACAATTTGGCGACGAGGATTCGCACTTCACGTGGACTAAAAAAAAATTTGCCGTTGCCAGTGTCCACAACAACTTGGTGACGAAGATTTACAAGGATTTTTAGTGGACCACCGTGGTTAAAAGGAACTTTCTCAAAATACGGAAAATCGAGTTTTTTTCGTAAAAGACACACTTATCATGGAGGATTTCAAAAGTATTTTATTAGAACTTGTAAAATACCAGAATGCACAGCAATTACAACTCCAAGAAAGAATGGGAGAGAAGTGGCAAAAACAATTGCTCTCTCAACAAGAAAAAATGGAAAATGTATTACTACAAACCCGGAAGGAAAATCGAGAGAGACAGCTCGAACTTCAAAAGGAAAATCAAGAGAGACAGCTTGAATTTCAAAAGCAAGTGTTAGAATTGACAAAACGTAGTAATCCCATTGAAAATGAATCTTCTTTCTCGCAAAACACCATCTGGAGTGCGATAGAGAATTTTTCATACAATCCTGAGGAAGACATAACCTTTGCGTCATACTTTAAGAGGTATGAGGACTTGTATACGTCAGATTATGCGAACTGGAGTGACTCGAAAAAAAGGACGTCTTCTTCTGAGGAAACTTAGCACATCTGAGCACACAAAATTCGTTAACTACATTCTGCCCCATATGACTAGCAAATTGACATTCACCGAAGCAGTGGAATTCCTAACGGAGCTCTTCAGCCCAAGGACATCGCTTTCTCATAAGAGATGGAAATGTCTTAATCTAACTAGGAAAGAATGGGAAGACTACACCACTTTTGCGTCAATTGTAAACAAGCACTACGAGGATTTTAGACTGGCGGAGCTAAGTGCGAATAACTTCAAATGCTTGATATTCGTGCAAGAACTAGTTTCAGTAAAAGATGCAGAAAATAGACGAAGAATACTAAAAAAATATTGGAGAATGAGCCGAATATAACTTTACAGCAGATCTCTGAAGAATGTCAGAGGTACGTGAGTTTAAAGCAGGATTCTAAAAATATTGAAGAATCTGGTATTGCTCACGTCAAAAAAGTACGCTACAAACAGAAACAAACAGTCTCCTAAAACTGAAACAAAGGAAAAAAAAAACAAATAAGTTGCCCCCTAACCCATGCTACGGATGTGGGGCCCTACATTGTTACAAAGATTGTATGTTCCAGAATAAAAAAAAAAAATGTTATATTTGTAACCGAGTCGTACACAAAGTTCGCATTGCCGATCTAAAAATAAAACCAATAGCTGCATAAAAAAATACAAGGTCGGACGAACGAGACGGTGCTAATATCATGAAATTTGTGCACGTAAAAATGTTAAACAAAAGTGTAGAATTTCAATTAGATTCGAGTACTGATTTAACTATAATAAACTTGCAAACGTGGAAAAGATTGGGTAAGCCAACCATGATAAAATCTAGCAAGATTGCGATATCAGTAATAGGAGAAAAAAATTAAATTCCAGGGAGAAATGATTAAATATAACGTTCAGCGGGAAGACTCTTAAATTAAAATGTACTGAAAAATACTAACAACCTATTTGACACTGATTTGATGACACAATTCCAGCTTTGGGACTTGCCTATAAATTCTTACTGCCAAAAAAATTGGAAATTTGAATGCCGAAGCTGAAAAAAGAACTGAGGGAAGCCTATCGAGAATTTTTTTTTCTGCTGGGTTAGGCAGGTGTAACAAGATGATGGTAAAAATTGAACTTCAAGACAACGTCCAGCCAGTGTTCAAAAAGAAGCGAAATGTGCCTTTTGCCTCATTGGAACAAATTAACGAGGAACTTGACAGATTAGAAAAAACTGGTGTCCTATCTAAGGTAAAGACGGAAGTGCTTCATGTTGACAAGATGAAAAAGAGGAAAGTTTTTGTTAGAGGCAAAGTAGCCAAAGCAAAGAAACTGGCTCAAGGAACACAGGCCTCTATTCCTAAACAGAGCAAGAATGTTGCATCAGTTTCAGCAAACTCTGATCAGAAAAACGTTGTGTCAGACTTTAAAAAAAAAAAAAAAACCTGGACCAGTGAAAGGGGGTAAGCGTTTTGTGCAAAAGGTTTCAGTTTCTGGAGAAAACAGCAAAAAAAACGTACCAAAAAAAAAAAAAAGACCACAAACAAATATGCAAGCTTTTCTACGTTGAACTTGGCAAAACAAGTCAGCCAATTTTTAAATTCCTAGCCAGACGTAAAAAGGAAATGTAAAATGTAAAAAGGATAATGTAAAACAAGTCGGTACATGTGAAAAAAAAATTATTTCTTCAGAC